TTCCCCCTTAAATTTTCGACGTATTTGAAAATTTGTCAATTCCTTGTTGAAATAACATTGTCGGAAAAAAGAATCAAATATCGATAGAAACTTATAACTTTCCTCTTTAATATAAACATTCAACCCTCAAACAATGACATTATTCGAGGTTTATAGTTAAAGTCTGAATTTGTCATTTTGTTTTGGTCCCGGGAACAACTTTAACGTCCGCACCTGTGAGACCAACTCTAGCTCTCACAATAGGGGATCACATGACTAATTTCCACAGCCCGAAGCTATAGAAGCGACTTCTTTCCCCCTCTTCGGGAGAGTCTCACATCTACGGCCGTCAAAAAGGGTCAAGTCTCGGAGGAATTTCTAATCTTGTGCATCGATCACAAATAAAAGCAATAACTTAACGTCTACGTTAAAATATGCTAGAGGTATGGAGCATTTAATGTAAACTCTCTCTCTGTGAGTTAGGAGCTAGCAAACTAAATTCACCGGGTGTTAGATTTGGTAATCGTTATTTTTCATTAATCTAATAAATCATTGTTTCCATCATTAAATAGTGTAATTTACTCGCATATCACCTACACCTCATCGACGACCCCTCTCACCTCCTCCACTTGACCTGACAAAAAGGATCCCGACCCTTCGGGACCGCATTCAAAATTTTGACATCTTGACAAGTGAGCAGGTTTAACAACCTGTAGCCGAAAAGGGAGACCTCCAACCTCCCCAGCGGTTAACATAATTGGTGTCAGAAGTAAGGTTTCGACTTCCTCGAACTCTCGATAACGTGAAAAAGGCTATATCCGAGTAAACAGTTGATTCGAGTTGAATTAGGGAACTTAGAACTAGGTGAATAGCTACGGTTAGTATAGGAGGTAGATTTTAATATAAGTAGAAAAAATGGTGGATGATCCCCAACCTCAACCTGCAGCTGGGCCAGGCAACCCTAACCCAAATCCATCACCGAGCCCTGTTACATTAGGAGGTTTAAGCGGAATAATCCCTTTATTTCCCGTATTTTTGGGAGAAGCGGGAGGTCCAAGAATAACTGATTTTTTTTATTCATTGGTAGATGTTACAAAAGTAGCAGCATGGTCGAAGGCTCAAATGTTGGCCGTAGCGAAGCTTAAATTGACGGGAATAACTAGTAAATTTGTGAGAAAGGATCAAAGAATGAAGAGAGAGATGATTTTGACAAATTCAAGCATATTATGATAAAGTGCTTCGAGCATGAACCATTTTCATTTAGACTAAGCATATAAAGATTGATTAAATAGTATTATACTTTACTGTGGCAAGTCTCCCGTGTCAGATATCCGCCACAGCTCTGGCCATGTATGCGTTGGATCCTGAAATCGAAGCGCAATTCAAAAAAGCTACTGTTATCAACAATACACCCCACCAAGAGCATTTCAGGTGGCTAGAGGCCACAGCTATCTACAATGCCAGCCGGCTAACCACGTGCGTTAACTGGAAAGAAGAGCTGACTCTGTCCCTGCCCTGGGCAATCACTGTTGTATGCTAACCCACCACTTCCTCCACCACCACACGACCGTGCATGTCAGAAAGAACCCACTCCATCAGAATTGACACACGATCCCAACAAATAAAATACACTTTGTCTAGGGAATTCCTGTCGACCTAAAGAAGAGCAAAGAGATTGCTCGAAAATGTTTGTCAACAGCGATATACAGTATATACGCGTCACACCTGTTACAAATTCCGGATAGTGTCATGTAACATTTTTACATTAAATTCTGATGTAGAAAAAGTAAATTTTGGTTAATATTTTTCCCACTATGTGGTAGATTTTAAAGCAGGGTGCTGCCCACAAACTTGACAATAATACTTGGTTTCCTATCTTATTTTTTTCCCTGCACCGTCATGCTTAGTTTTACATACGGCACAGTGTCTAGTGGGAGCATTTTTTCTACCAGTCGCCAGAAGGTCAGGAAAATGTCTTCCCGTAAGTCTAAGTGGACCTGAAGTTCTCAGCTGACCACGTCTGGTAACCCTCGTTCGATGTGATACCTGTATAATTTTTTCAATAACATTAATTCTAAATTGCAAATGTTCCATTCCGCCACCATTTTATAATGTAAGACAAAAGAATTAAATATAGAAATATCTAATAAATGAAAAAATAGTTTTTTGAAAAATTTTTTTGTTCTTTTCTTGCTGCTGGATAATCTTGAAAATGCTGATCTAAAAGTTCAACACCTCCCACTGTGTCGTTATAGTTGACAACAACTCTGTGGCTTTATAACTATTTTACCAGTATGGGTTTCTTTTCTTACCATTACTTAATTGTGGACTGTAGAGAGTAAAGTGACGGCTCTTTGGTCTTGCCACTTCATAATCATCACTTTACCTCTCTGCATCGCCACTGTTTCTCTCTTTTTCAATTTTTTATTTCAAAACTCAGCCGAGACCTGTTGTCTGGTTGTCCACACAGTTCCAAATAAATCCGTTTGGACTGTAACCAGATAATTTTTATTCTTCCCCACATTTAACTAATTATCTGTTGTTAGATAATAGCCCTTGCCTAACAACGAGTCCCCTAATAACAATACTATTTTTGATATTACTAGCATATCTTTATATTTTTCATTTAAAACTATTTTTACCAGTGTAAATTGTAAAATTATACAAATAGCCAGATGAGGTCTCGCATAACATAGAATTTCACACCGAAACGAGACTGTTTGAGAAGCATGTATTGTCTCCACAAAAGACGTCCTTTGAATACATTAAACTCTCATCCACCACTATATCTCTTTCTGGGACATAGAAACGCAAACATTTTGAACATAAATTTTTAACTGTTGGCCAAATTTTATTGAGATTAGGGTTTGGATAAGTTCATGGATTATAATTTTGATTATCAGTAAAATGCATATTTTGTTTTATTTCCGAAAAACGAGTTCTTGACATTAATCTTCGAAAACTTGGAGTGGAAAGTGTTTCGTTCCTGGTCCACTACATTCTCTCATTTGGTTTATGAATAATACCTTGTATATGTTTTTTAGCATTATACTACAGCATCTCCACTATTGAAACAGAGTTCCACTAGCTCCTGGATGTCTGTGGCTTTGTTTGGGCATACCTATTTGTTTCCGAAGTTCTATGGTTCACCAATTCGTCATCAGAAAATAATTAAAATAATCTAATGGTTCTGTTACTTGATTAGTAAAGAACCAACATCCAGGAGTTCCAGTGAACAGAAACCGTAAAGAAGGCATTGGAAAGGTATTGGGGTCAGCTTGACACCAAGTTTGAGCGGTAGCTCTTCCTGATTCATCTGAACTGCTTGAGTCATCAATGCTCGGTATATAACTCTCTGAACCGCTTTCAGAGAGTGCCATATATTCTACTTCACTATGAGACATTCTGCCAATAAAAAAAATCATCTAAAACCCATCTTATTTTTCTGTTACGTGTTAAAAATTAGATAATATTCTCCGAAATAAACAGAATTATAATAAACTTACTGGATAATAATGAAAAACTGGCTGACAGATATCCAAAAAAGATAACAAAACTGCAGGCACAGAACTAAAACAGGACTTGATAGAGCAAGATCAAGACTGAGTGAGATATTCTACAATTATTCAGAGGAGATAGAGTCATAAATTCTTGAAACAAACAGGTAAATAGGTATATAGGTAAATAAATTTATAGAAGTATGAACAACTTATTTTCTTTTACTAAAATATTTCTATTATAATATGTAAAAAATATTTTACGAAAAAAAACTGCCACAAAAAAATCAGAATAATTTATAATACACCATTTTATAAAATAAATTAATTAAAAATGTTAGTATAAAACTTTATTTTTTTNAGATAAAATATTTTTCTTCAATAAGTGACTCCTTAATTGATCAGAAGGACACCAATTTTTGTTGGAAGATTATAAATAGTTTTCGAAAAAATTCAAAATCAGCTAATAATTAAAGATATAAATACATTCATTGTGTACTTCAAATAGTAAAGGCATATTATGCCTAAAAAATGTTACGTGCCTTTTTGCACATTGTATGCCGAATTGGATCATAACCTGATTCTCCAAGACCAGGTAACTTGGTGTTATCGACGAGATGGAAAAATCGTAGCAAGTGATAAAAGCGGTGTCTAGAAAACATTTTGCCAAACCACAGAGTGGCTAGGGAGGGAGAAGTGGACCAGTATAAAGCTATAGTTGGTTTTTTGATTAGACCCATATTCAGAACACACGCCAAAAATCCTTTCATCTCTGGAACAGACACTTCGGTCCAGTCCTTCAAATAAGACGGTACATTATTCCCCATGCCATTTATCACTTGCTGCGCATAACGATTGGTTTCCTCCACCATAAGAGACAGCAAAGTACTAGTGAAAAACAGATAGAAATATGCGATGGGAGGAGAATCGGGAGATGGCATATGTTTTGGGCCACATTCGTGTTGGAAAGTGAAAAGAAAAGGGTAAGGTTCTTCCAGTGAGAGAACCTCACGGTAGTCCTCATCTTCCATTTCGTCATCACTGTCAGAATGTGCAGCCGAGGAGGAGATAGAGGCCACATCATCTTCAGGCTCATAGTCTTCATCTTCAAAACTAGAGAGGAAAGAAAGTCCGGAAGACTAATTTGACCTATTATTTAACACGATCTTTGTTAAACAACAAAATATATAGAAATTTAATTAAAGCCAAGAAGGAAAAATATTTTTCTTCAATAAGTGACTCCTTAATTGATCAGAACACCACCAATTTTTGTTGAAAGATTATAAATAGTTTTCGAAAAAATTCAAAATCAGCTAATAATTAAATAGATATAAATACATTCATTGTGTTCTTCAAATAGTAAAGGCATATTATGCCTAAAAATTGTTGCGTGCCTTTTTGCACATTGTATGCTAAATCAAAAATTTGTAACTTTTAATCCTTCGGGACATCTCATGAAATCCCATCAAACAAACAACTGACACAGAAGTGGTTAAATGTTATATCACGACAAGGAAATAAAAAATGATTGCCGTGGATACCAAGAAGCAGGTCAGTTGTGTTGTAGCCTACATTTTGTAGAAAGTGATTATAAAATCGAATCTAAAAAGCACGTTTTACGTTCATCATCATGCCCCTCATAGTTTCCAAACTATCCCCCACATAAGTGTCCTCAGACAGAAAAAACAAAGAGAACACCATTACAACGGAATGTACAAGTACATGCAAATCCATCTCAAAAAAGGAATAAGCTTGTTGACAAGCAGGATCCTCATCATGAAAGCACAACTATAGACACTGAAGTTACTGATGGGCCTGTTTATAACTATACTGATTTCGAGGAAGGAAGGAAGAGCAATATGGTAAGTGCTGCATGTAAAACTAATTATGACCTGAAACTAATTGTTACAGAATATAAAACTGTTAACAAACTAAAAGCTACACTTTGGAGAAAGAATGTAAAATTGTCAGAATTACAGGCAGAGCATGATAAAAATGCTCTAAAATTGAAGGCCTACGAAGAAGTTAATCTGATTGAAGCAGTACGAAAAATAGAAGCATTAGCTAAAACTGGGAACACTGGAGCAGTATTTCTTGTTGACCAGATTCTCAATTTTGATAAATATTATCCCAAATGGAGTAATGATGTAATTCGTGAATGTATTTTCAGAAAATCTCAATTGTAACATGTAGCTTTTAATCCAAATTAGATTTAAGCAATTATCAATGGCTTCTTCAAGTAAGATGATGAAGATGACCGAAGAAGAGGAAGTTGTAACCTTCCTAGAGCAGCTGTCCGACGTCAACATCCCTCTTGAGTCGTCCGATAGCAAGGAGGAATGTTTCCTGGAAAGGTGTGACATCGATGCCCTAGTACGGTATTCCTCAGAAGAATGGGAGGACAACGAACCCTCAAATTCCACATACTCTCGTCAGGAGTTTCCTGACAAGTTGGAAGATGAGGTGTATCTCGAGGTTCTGACACCAGAACAATCTCTCCATCAATCTTTCCCTTTCCTAGGGCAATCTGGCCCCAAACATGTTCCTTCTTCTGATTCTCACGTCGATTTTATCGAGGCAGTAATTGAAAGCCTGGCAGGAGAATGGATGGCGGAGCAGAAAGCTCTATTTCCTGAAAAACCCCGAGGTCCGGTAGGACTGATAAAGCTACCAGGAAAATTGGCTTATCAGTGTATTGTCTGTAGCTCAAAAAACAAAAGGAAAACGACAACAAAAGCATGCAACAGATATGGTAGGGGTATTCATGCAAATTGCCTGGAAAAACATCGCTGCTAGCACACAAAGGTACATGCATAAATTGATATAATTCTGTTTTAGCTTTATATGTGGATAAGTTTTGCAAAATGTACAAAATTAATAATCTCTTTCTTACAGATATCATCTGTTCACTTTTTCACTTTTTTTTTGAAGGGTATGTGCTAGCAGACAAGGTAGGTGGTGGATAGCTTGAAACAATAATCTGGTATAATTATCATTTTTATATGCATGATTCTTGCAAAATGTACAACATGATGTTTTCTCTTACAGCTTGGTTCCGGGGAGATCTTTCCACTTCCTTCATCCATTTTCTACTATTTATTTATTTGTATATTTGTTATTTATTGTGAAGATTAGATTATTAAATACAATATTTTGCATAAGGTACAAGCAGGGTTTTTTTTGACCTGGCCGATTTTGTCAGGATAAAATATTTATAGTAAATGCGTTTGTACAATTAAAATTGCAGAAAAAGAGAAAACAACTGTATGCTGTTTTCTGGACTTTCATTCTGCAGACCGCTAATCATAAAGTTGTATGGTTTCTATTAGAAAGAATAAGCATGAATTAATTTTGCTTATATCTATGTATAGTTATTTCGTTTGATAAATTCTTCTGTATTACCTTATGCTGCTCCTGTATGGGCAATTATTTATTATGATAAACTGCAAATGGTCCTTGCTTTATATCTTAGAAAAATTGCTGTTTTACCATAAAATTCCAGCTTATATGTTACATCTGGAATTTGAAAATGAAAAAAAAAAATTAGAAAAATGTTACAGAGCAATTTAACCACTTGTTATAAATATAAATAAAATAGAGATTATAGTGTTCTTCTACATGCTGTCTTTTGTTTCATATGCTTTGCTGAAGAAATGTTGTCATCAAACAGTAGATTTTTTTCATGAGATCGACTGAAGAGAATAACTGCAGTATCAATTCTTAACATTATATATAAAATATTGAAACATTTAGTAAATAATGATTTTCAAATATAGAGTATAAATATATGCAGTATATTCAATTATAATCAGGAATATCAATCATCTTTATAGTCTTTTTCACATTTAAAAATGATTATTATTAAAATATATTTCAAATAAAAAAATCAATAATACATGTATAATAACAGAATTTATTAAGATAATAAAAAAACAGGTTACTAAAAAGTATTCATATATATAATTGTGAAGGTCAGAAATTTCGTGTTATATACTTTAAATTTTTTATAAAGTTTTAATTAAATTTGAGATGCAACTTTATAAAGACAAAACGAGGTGTAAAGAAAATTAAAAGAGATAAGGGAAACATAAAATATGGTTAAACCGCAATTCCAACGAGTTAGGTTCCTTGTTGAGATGAGTACATCTCTGTGTCACTCATCACCTTATTGGTCCAAGGAGATCGTCATCCCTGACGAAATCAAGGAAAAGTCCAAATTAAAAAAACTTTGTATAAAAAGGACAGACACGATGAGTAACGGTGTGGAAGTTATTATTTGATTGAGTGTGTGTGCCGCGCTGTGTTCGTCTTCGAGAGACTGTTCCTGTCAAAACCCAACACCTCCTCCTCAAAGACTGAACTGGACAATATCAATTCACCTATTTAACTCCGAACTGTGGGTCTTTATTTGCTATTAACAAATCAACAGTATAATATAAGGTATTTATCCTGCCCGCAAACTATGGTATGCTCTCTCTCTCTCCACGTTAGCTAATCGCAAACTCGATTGTAACTAGCAATTCACGTAACTTATTTTTAGCCAATATTAACTTGTAGCCTTAAATTTTGATGTATAACTAACGTAGCAAACATAAATAAACGGTTATTTATGTTTAAAGCAACTTTAAGTGCAGTTTCTTCCATTCTTCTCTCCGTCCACTCCATTCCAGGTCCAAACCTCGTACGTCACCGTTCGCGCAAACTTCTGGTCTCTGTATCGACCAAAGGATACAGTGGTGTCATCCTGACGTGGTATCGAAGAGATAATGACCCAACAGTCACATAATATTTCACATTAAAAAACTAATTAATTTTGTTTCCAAAATAGTCATTGCCAAAAGATTTAAACAAAATTGGCATTCTTTAACATTAATGAATTAACATTATAAATGAATATTCATATATGGAACAAACTAAGAAAAAAATTTTATTTCATTTAGAAAAATGAAATAAAGGTTAAAGTGCTGATTTGATTGTATTAATTTTTATATCAAAACCAGAATTAAGTAAAAGAAAAGTCTATACAACAATTTTAATATATAACACTAGTGTGAGATATGACCTCAGAGTACGCCCAAAATTGTTCATTTTCCCCCTTAAATTTTCGACGTATTTGAAAATTTGTCAATTCCTTGTTGAAATAACATTGTCGGAAAAAAGAATCAAATATCGATAGAAACTTATAACTTTCCTCTTTAATATAAACATTCAACCCTCAAACAATGACATTATTCGAGGTTTATAGTTAAAGTCTGAATTCGTCATTTTGTTTTGGTCCCGGGAACAACTTTAACGTCCGCACCTGTGAGACCAACTCTAGCTCTCACAATAGGGGATCACATGACTAATTTCCACAGCCCGAAGCTATAGAAGCGACTTCTTTCCCCCTCTTCGGGAGAGTCTCACATCTACGGCCGTCAAAAAGGGTCAAGTCTCGGAGGAATTTCTAATCTTGTGCATCGATCACAAATAAAAGCAATAACTTAACGTCTACGTTAAAATATGCTAGAGGTATGGAGCATTTAATGTAAACTCTCTCTCTGTGAGTTAGGAGCTAGCAAACTAAATTCACCGGGTGTTAGATTTGGTAATCGTTATTTTTCATTAATCTAATAAATCATTGTTTCCATCATTAAATAGTGTAATTTACTCGCATATCACCTACACCTCATCGACGACCCCTCTCACCTCCTCCACTTGACCTGACAAAAAGGATCCCGACCCTTCGGGACCGCATTCAAAATTTTGACATCTTGACAAGTGAGCAGGTTTAACAACCTGTAGCCGAAAAGGGAGACCTCCAACCTCCCCAGCGGTTAACATAATTGGTGTCAGAAGTAAGGTTTCGACTTCCTCGAACTCTCGATAACGTGAAAAAGGCTATATCCGAGTAAACAGTTGATTCGAGTTGAATTAGGGAACTTAGAACTAGGTGAATAGCTACGGTTAGTATAGGAGGTAGATTTTAATATAAGTAGAAAAAATGGTGGATGATCCCCAACCTCAACCTGCAGCTGGGCCAGGCAACCCTAACCCAAATCCATCACCGAGCCCTGTTACATTAGGAGGTTTAAGCGGAATAATCCCTTTATTTCCCGTATTTTTGGGAGAAGCGGGAGGTCCAAGAATAACTGATTTTTTTTATTCATTGGTAGATGTTACAAAAGTAGCAGCATGGTCGAAGGCTCAAATGTTGGCCGTAGCGAAGCTTAAATTGACGGGAATAACTAGTAAATTTGTGAGAAAGGATCAAAGAATGAAGAGAGAGATGATTTTGACAAATTCAAGCATATTATGATAAAGTGCTTCGAGCATGAACCATTTTCATTTAGACTAAGCATATAAAGATTGATTAAATAGTATTATACTTTACTGTGGCAAGTCTCCCGTGTCAGATATCCGCCACAGCTCTGGCCATGTATGCGTTGGATCCTGAAATCGAAGCGCAATTCAAAAAAGCTACTGTTATCAACAATACACCCCACCAAGAGCATTTCAGGTGGCTAGAGGCCACAGCTATCTACAATGCCAGCCGGCTAACCACGTGCGTTAACTGGAAAGAAGAGCTGACTCTGTCCCTGCCCTGGGCAATCACTGTTGTATGCTAACCCACCACTTCCTCCACCACCACACGACCGTGCATGTCAGAAAGAACCCACTCCATCAGAATTGACACACGATCCCAACAAATAAAATACACTTTGTCTAGGGAATTCCTGTCGACCTAAAGAAGAGCAAAGAGATTGCTCGAAAATGTTTGTCAACAGCGATATACAGTATATACGCGTCACACCTGTTACAAATTCCGGATAGTGTCATGTAACGTTTTTACATTAAATTCTGATGTAGAAAAAGTAAATTTTGGTTAATATTTTTCCCACTATGTGGTAGATTTTAAAGCAGGGTGCTGCCCACAAACTTGACAATAATACTTGGTTTCCTATCTTATTTTTTTCCCTGCACCGTCATGCTTAGTTTTACATACGGCACAGTGTCTAGTGGGAGCATTTTTTCTACCAGTCGCCAGAAGGTCAGGAAAATGTCTTCCCGTAAGTCTAAGTGGACCTGAAGTTCTCAGCTGACCACGTCTGGTAACCCTCGTTCGATGTGATACCTGTATAATTTTTTCAATAACATTAATTCTAAATTGCAAATGTTCCATTCCGCCACCATTTTATAATGTAAGACAAAAGAATTAAATATAGAAATATCTAATAAATGAAAAAATAGTTTTTTGAAAAATTTTTTTGTTCTTTTCTTGCTGCTGGATAATCTTGAAAATGCTGATCTAAAAGTTCAACACCTCCCACTGTGTCGTTATAGTTGACAACAACTCTGTGGCTTTATAACTATTTTACCAGTATGGGTTTCTTTTCTTACCATTACTTAATTGTGGACTGTAGAGAGTAAAGTGACGGCTCTTTGGTCTTGCCACTTCATAATCATCACTTTACCTCTCTGCATCGCCACTGTTTCTCTCTTTTTCAATTTTTTATTTCAAAACTCAGCCGAGACCTGTTGTCTGGTTGTCCACACAGTTCCAAATAAATCCGTTTGGACTGTAACCAGATAATTTTTATTCTTCCCCACATTTAACTAATTATCTGTTGTTAGATAATAGCCCTTGCCTAACAACGAGTCCCCTAATAACAATACTATTTTTGATATTACTAGCATATCTTTATATTTTTCATTTAAAACTATTTTTACCAGTGTAAATTGTAAAATTATACAAATAGCCAGATGAGGTCTCGCATAACATAGAATTTCACACCGAAACGAGACTGTTTGAGAAGCATGTATTGTCTCCACAAAAGACGTCCTTTGAATACATTAAACTCTCATCCACCACTATATCTCTTTCTGGGACATAGAAACGCTAATATTTTGAACATAAATTTTTAACTGTTGGCCAAATTTTATTGAGATTAGGGTTTGGATAAGTTCATGGATTATAATTTTGATTATCAGTAAAATGCATATTTTGTTTTATTTCCGAAAAACGAGTTCTTGACATTAATCTTCGAAAACTTGGAGTGGAAAGTGTTTCGTTCCTGGTCCACTACATTCTCTCATTTGGTTTATGAATAATACCTTGTATATGTTTTTTAGCATTATACTACAGCATCTCCACTATTGAAACAGAGTTCCACTAGCTCCTGGATGTCTGTGGCTTTGTTTGGGCATACCTATTTGTTTCCGAAGTTCTATGGTTCACCAATTCGTCATCAGAAAATAATTAAAATAATCTAATGGTTCTGTTACTTGATTAGTAAAGAACCAACATCCAGGAGTTCCAGTGAACAGAAACCGTAAAGAAGGCATTGGAAAGGTATTGGGGTCAGCTTGACACCAAGTTTGAGCGGTAGCTCTTCCTGATTCATCTGAACTGCTTGAGTCATCAATGCTCGGTATATAACTCTCTGAACCGCTTTCAGAGAGTGCCATATATTCTACTTCACTATGAGACATTCTGCCAATAAAAAAAATCATCTAAAACCCATCTTATTTTTCTGTTACGTGTTAAAAATTAGATAATATTCTCCGAAATAAACAGAATTATAATAAACTTACTGGATAATAATGAAAAACTGGCTGACAGATATCCAAAAAAGATAACAAAACTGCAGGCACAGAACTAAAACAGGACTTGATAGAGCAAGATCAAGACTGAGTGAGATATTCTACAATTATTCAGAGGAGATAGAGTCATAAATTCTTGAAACAAACAGGTAAATAGGTATATAGGTAAATAAATTTATAGAAGTATGAACAACTTATTTTCTTTTACTAAAATATTTCTATTATAATATGTAAAAAATATTTTACGAAAAAAAACTGCCACAAAAAAATCAGAATAATTTATAATACACCATTTTATAAAATAAATTAATTAAAAATGTTAGTATAAAACTTTATTTTTTTCATTATGTATTATTTAGAAACTTATTATTTTTCATGTAACACAAACCTGGCAAAGAGACACTTGATACAGGATTCAATATAGATAAACAGCTGGATAACCTTCAGAACAGCTGATTGTGAACTTTTGCTGGTTGTTTCCAACAACGCCTGAGGGGAAGTAGGTTTTCTACACGTCTGAACTACTTAAAATACTGTAAATACTCGATTGTCTTACGTTATTTTCTGATAATTTTTTTTTATTTTTTTGTTATTACTTATAAGCTAAACTTAACCTCATTAACCTAACATTGTTTTTATGCTTTACAGGAAAACCTCCCACAAAAAATATAAAAAAATTTAACACACCAATTTATCAAATACATTTCTAAACAATTTTAGCATAAAACATTCTTTCCTTTATTAGGTGTTATTTAGAAATTAATTCACTTTCACATATCAAGTATCTGCAACAGATCACGTGACACGTGTGGCAGTTCGGTGTACTTAGCTTAATGTCCTTGAGAGCAGCTGCTTTTCAACGTTGGCGGAATATGCCCATGAAAGCTTCAGGAAAAGACAGGTTACTAGATAGATGTTCATCAGTTATCATAAACACTCAAGTACATCACGAAATTTTCGATTATGTATACTTTTCTCAATAGGTGGAGACCACAAAAATTGTCCAAAATATAAACTCCTATTGGGTGTATAATTTCAAAATTTTCTGATGTCATAAACAACATCAATAGAATGTAAAATAAGCTTTGCCTGAGTTATTTCGTACATAGGGAGAATAAAAACGAATTTTGAAAATCGGACGAGCATAGCGGTCAACGGACATACCAATTACGTCACGTTTGAAAGAGTTAACTTGTCAATGGGCGTTTCAACCCACATTGACAAGTTAACTCTTTAGAATAAAATATGTCATGACCCTAAAATATGTACGAGTGACCTTACACGATAAATTGTCTTGGACTCTACGGGTGCATACACTTTTGGGATCAAACTGATCCAAGATAACTTCGATCGTTCAAATCATGTATACAAAGGAACTACTGCGATCCAATCAATCTTTATTTGCGTATACAAATGCCATGTAGGATCAACAGGATTGCGATCAAACTAATCCTAACGGAGGGTAGGATCGTTTGGATCGAATAAAATAGATTAAGGATGGCGGCCTCCATGGTAGAAGTTATGCTTGCAATAAATAATGAGGAAATACATTTAATTATTGACAAGAAAACTTATTTAAAACTTATAAATGGTAAGTAAAACATTATTATTAAAATATCCGATAAACTGAAGTGAAAAAAATACATATTTAGATAAATAGTTTTGTCAAATAAACGATAGTACTAAACGACATACGATGTTATAAATTAACTACAGTTTTAATATCGAGAGATAAAATGGATTAATTTAATTTAATTAATTGATCCTTTTTAGTTAAAATATACAGATTTTCGAAAATATTTTACACATAATACTGTATTTTTAAAACTCACTATATGTTAACTAACAAGAAGAGATTATTATTAACTAACAAATGTTTAACTAAACTAATATGTTCTCTTTTATTTCCTTTGCCAGATAAAAATTTTGCAGAAGAATATGTTCAGACATTGTTAAAAAATAAAAGAGAAGAAACGGTTTTGCTTCATGCTGTTGATATACATTACAAAACTGCACATAATGAGAATGCAAATTCTCATGAGCCGACGGCAGTTTACAGATCAAATAGACCGCTGTTCAGAAAAATTTCATTGCAGAGACGGCGTTTCTCCCCTGCCACAATGTAGACTGCGATTAGTAACAAGTTATTTGACCTATTTTCTAAACTCCCTCGATAGCAGGTTTAGACATCATTTTACTCGAGTAGAAGTCGCCATTTTTCTTCGTTAAATATCCTTAATTTGATCAATGTTGTAAACGGGACGAATGAAGAACATCATTCATTTCAACAATTACTAAGAGAGATAATGCGAGATTGGAATAATCCTATAGAAATTTATTCCGAAGACAAATTTCGAACTCGGTATAGATTTTCTAAATCTGAATTCGTTCACATTAAATCGGGTTGGCGACGAAATTAGGCATCTGAATAGAAGAGGATTGCCATTAACTGCCGAACAAGTTATTGACGGCATTACAATTTTATGCCACCGGAAGCTACCAGAGGGTAGCCAGTGATCTTATCGGAGTTCACGTCTCTACTGTATGCAGGTATCTATCAAACTATTATTAAATAAATTTAAAAAGTTTTTTGTATAGTGATAGAGACATTTATAAGAATGAGATCTTGTTTAACGTTTGTATTAAGTTATATATATTGCATTACTTATTAATTATTGTTATGTCATTATCAGAACCATCCAGAACGTCTCAAAGGCATTAGTATATCTAAAGAATGCCGAAATTGTATTTCTGATGCAATCCAAACTTTCGACTATTACGCACGATTTTTCTTTATTATCTAAGGATAACTTTCCAGGAATAACTGAGGCAATAGAGCTCAACTTTTTTATAATAGAAAATCCTATTATTCTATTAACCGCCAGGTGAAAATTATTTACATACAATATAATTAAATATGCGATTTTCTTAACTTCATAATTAAGTGAAATTTCAATAAAATGTAATAAACTAATTTATTGTAGCTTAAATAACTATTAAATATAAAAGGGCCTATATATTTTTCTAACATTTAAAATTGTTATGCCTTGTTATGAGACAGTTATATTCTTGAGTATTTCTTTGACATATGAAATTACAAATATCAAATAATATCTTTGATACCTCAAACTGATCATTTTAATGAAAATATATAATTGATGCATGTTTAAATGTATATTGCAGGTAATCTGTGACGGAAAGAAGAAAATAAGAAATATTGTTGCTCGGTGGCCCGGTTCAACACATGACAGTAGAATTTTTTCTAATAGTAGCATTAGAGAAAAACTACATCAAAGATATTGCAATTGATATCTGGTTGGTTAAAGTGGCTATCCTTGTTTGCCGTATTTAATGACCCCATTTCTACATACACAAAATCATGCTAAAAGACAATATAACAAAGCTCATTCACGAGCAAGAAATATCGTCGAGAGATTATTTGGGGTCTGGAAAACACAATTTCCATACATTGGAAGTTATCTAAGAATGCTAAATTAGACAACATGCTAAATATAATTATAGCCACAGCAATTCTACATAATTGGGCCATTGAATTTAAAGACGAGTTTCTTACTGAGCATTTAAATGAAAAAATAGAGGAAGAAACTTCAAAAATGAATGAGCAATCTAAATTAGGATCTGCTCTTCGAAGATCTATTGTACTGCAACATTTCAGTTAAATGAAACAGTACTTTAAGACTTTCACAAAAGGTCCTTTTCAGGACCATACAATTTTGAAAAGAGTGAGCCTATCATAGACAAAATAATTTTCTTTTTATTCATTTTAAATAAAAATATTACTTAACATAACCTATGTAACAAATTAAATAAACATTCATACAGTTGTTTTATTCATCCATATTTTCTCAAAAAGATTTAAATTATGATTTCTGTGTTTAATTTTATGTATTTCTTGTTCCTGAAGTACAGTTCCATGAGGCATTGTTGAAAATGTTTATATAACATTCAATAAAACATTCAAAAAAGCCACCATGACAGTTAAAAATGATGACATCTCACCCTAGTCATGATAATTTTAATTATTATTATGATAAATTAATTTTTAAGAGACTTTTAAGTGGTGTACCTATACTTTTGTAACAGACTACCTTTTGTTTATCAATTAGAGCATACTACAGTGTTTTTAACAAATAATAAATAAAAAAAAATATATATATATATTTTACATATAAATTATGCTATACTTTTATCTTTCTTTTATTTTCATATATTTTTTCTTTGATATTCTTCCATCATCTAATTGTTTATTAATACGATCTGACCACTCTTAACTAAAGTTGTTGACCCTGAAAAAAGCCGTTTTAATATTTATAATAAAAAAGTTAAAACTTCTCAAAGAACTAAAATTATCAGAAAATAAATAAATGCATTTAAGTGTAATAAATGTTAAGTTGTTCCACTTCTTGCTTTTTCCTTTCTATATCTTGTTTCATTTTTTCTGTTTTTATGCCCTCCTCTATTAGCAAAATTTAAGCTCTCTCTAATGAGTTAGTGCTATAAATATAAATAATTATTTTTTAAAAAGTAATTATCAATATTTTCTATTATTTTATCTAAACATTATTTACCGTTGTCTTTAGGTAGTGGTGGATCATCTGCCAATTCCATATTTTCCCTGACAGCTGCATCACTTACCACTACAAGTGAAAATAATCCTGAACTACAATATTCATTTTTAGCTGTAAGTTATTCAGTATTATTTTCATATGTGATTGATGATAAGTAGTGATAGTAAATTATCCAAATTGGGTAACAGTTCAATACTCTCACATGAACACAATAAAAATCAAACACCTGCAAACAACAAGTATTTTATTAGGAAGGATGGCTATACTAAATGGAAAAAACAAGTACCACCAAAACTAATTCGAACTAAGTCAGTGAACATTGTAACACATTTACCTGGCCTCAAAAATAAAGCACATAACCATAAGAAAGTATTAAATTTATTTCATTTATTTTTTGACATTAACATAGTAAAAACAATCATGGATTGTACAAATACATATATCACAAACGTAAAAAAAACATTTGCCCGAAAAAGGTATGCTAGGGATACAGATCCAACAGAAATAACAGCATTTGTCAAATTACTGTACTTGATAGGGAGTATACAGAGTCCACAAAAAACTCAAACAAGATGTGGGACAATTCCAAGGGCAGTGGTTTAGAATCCTGCTACTTACGCATGAGTGAAGAAAGATTCCGATTTCTCTTACGATCCGTATGATTTAATAACATTCATGACAGAGCAGAGAGGGAAAAAATAGAGAAATTGGCTCCTATTAGAAAAATACACGAAATGTTTGTATCTAACTTAAGAAAATACTTCACACCGAGTGAGTACCTTACGGTAGATAAGCAGCTCCTAGCTTTTCAAGGCAAGTGCTCATTTCGACAGTACATTCCCAAAAAACCGGCAATATAAGAGCTAAAAATGTTTGCTTCGTGTGATGTCAAAACGGCATACACTAAGTTTAGAGCCTTATGTGTAGGGAAGCAGCCTGACAGGCCTTACTGTATAAGCACTACTGCTCCAGGATATTGTTGAGAGTTTAATAACGCCTGTACAGGGAACAAACCAAAATATCACAGGGGATAACTGGTTCACTAGTCTTTCTTTAGTAAAAGCCCTTAAGGCTAAGAAACTCACCTATGTACACACTATCCGTAAAAACAGGAGAAAGGTGCCGGCAGCATCTTTATCTCAGAGAAATCAAACAAAAAACTCGTCAATATTCGGATTTAAATCCGACTGCACAATGCTGTCTTATTGCCCAAAAAAATAAATAAAGCTGTCGTGCTTGTATCATCAATGCATCTTGATGACGAGATAGACGAAACCACATGAGAAGCACAAAAACCAGAAATTTTAACTTTTTATAATATGACAAAAACAGGAGTAGATCTTGTGGACCAACAATGTGGCCAGAATTACAAGGAGATGGCCAGTGGTCATGTTTTTTAATTTGCTGAATATGGTGGCGATTAACACCTATTGCATTTATAAATTTCACAAATTTGCTTAACTACAAGGATTTATTTATCAAAGGCAAACCACCGAAATCCATTGGTGCAGGAAATAGCTCAGGATGGATGACAGTTACGAAGTTCCTCATATATATATGGATCACTTCATCAAACACACCTTCAGATCCAGTTTTGATATTGCTTGATAATCACCAAACTCACGTCGATATTAATGTGGTAGAAAAGGCAAAATCTAACTCCATTTTAATGCTGTCATTTCCGCCTCATTGTACACACTGTCTGCAACCATTGGACGTTGGAGTGAATGCACCGTTTAAAAATTATTGTGCAAAGGCTCAAGACAACTGGCTATGCAGCAACCCTGGCAAGACAATGTCAATATATGAAATCCCTAAAATCGTAAAATATGCAATGCCAATTGCAGCAATTCCTATCCATATATTAAGCTTTTTTAAAAAGGCTGGCATTTGGCCATATGATCCTAATATTTTCACTGAAGACGACTTTGTGCCATCTTTCGTCACAGATTGCCCTTTGGCTCCAACGCATGAGAGTGTCTCTGCAGGCATCACACCTATAAATGATATTGATATAATTGATATGAAAATTTGAGAGGCAGAAACTAGGATAGATAAATCTAACAATGCACTTGAATCTGTAAGCATTATGACAAAAGACAAATCCTGGATCAGCCAGGGCAATAAAAAGTTGTAAATTTGTCTAAAACATCTGGTGTTGTGCAAGGACTTGAAAAAGATGTTGCTTTCTCCCCGAAAGCAATTTGTCCTTTTCCAAAGATTGGTTGGTTGGTTGGTTGGTTAACTTTTATTGGCACAAGAGCCATACAGGCTATACTGCGCCACAACACATGGTGCAATTCGAAGTAGAAAATAAATAGGAAGACATATATACACACAAACATAACATCACAGTTTAACGACTGAACAGCCAATAATAATATAAATATAAAATCTATAATATAATAAAAAAATTAAGTAACAACACAAATAAATAAATAAGCAACAACAAAAATAAACAAACAAACAACAACAAAATATATATAGAATAATTTATATATGCAACTAAACGTAAATAAAACTGTACAATAATTAATTCATCAGATTTCCCTATACATATTAATGACTTTTAGAAAGTCCAGTATATTATCCAGATTTGGCTTCTGGCCCAAAATGTCTCTAAGGCTTGCATTTCCGAAATGCTGTCTACGACTCTGATCAGAAGCAACACAGTTGCAAAATATGTGTTTAACACTTACAGCACAGTTGCAGTGCTGACATACTGGTTCGTCATCTCCCTTCAAAAGGTATTGATGAGTCAGTCGAGTGTGACCAATTCTCAGACGAGTAAGGATAACCTCAGATCTCCTATCATATTGCCTATTATGTGTCCAATTTTCTACCAAAGGTTTGATCTCGTAAAGTTTATTGTGGATTTGTGCATTCCACATGATTTGCCATCTCTCGGCTAGTCGTTTTTTAACAACTAGCTTCAAATCACCTCCTTCAATA